GAAAAATTACCGCAGATGTTTCTGATTGTTCATTTTCAGCTCTGACAAGAAATGTACTCAGATAACAAAAGCAAATGCATGAGAGCGGTGGCCCTTTTATGTTCTGATTGCTTCCTCTCTGATTCAAAGGGAAAAACATTTCTCTTGAGGACACGTAAGACTTTCAGGGTCTTAGTTAACTCTAATGGAAGCTCAGGACAATATATGTTTTGGAAAGAACTGGGTAAAAGCATTCATTTCAGTGAGATGGGAAGAATCATCTGAAAAGTACAGGGACGTCAGGCCCCTTCGTTAAAGCCCATTTTCTTTTTGCTTTCATGTCAGCGTTCGTTAAGAATGCCAAGGTTTTTATATTTACGCACGATGAAGCCCTGTTTTCGAATACGACTCTCTCCCCGGCTCCAGCGGTGTCGGGAAAAGGCTGTGTAGGGGCCTAGCCTCCCCGTCAGCACTGTGCATATCCTCCCCCTGCACCCCGTTAACTGCCTTCTCTGGAAATGATATGAAATGTTGAGGATAACTAAAATAGTATTCAGAATTATAGGTGGCTAAACTGGATGATGGAGAAGCGAATCATTACAGAAAATCAGGCAGAGAAAGGAGGGTGGTGGTCCGTGGCTCAAAGTGTCACACTAATTGAGTTTGATGTGATTGAGATGTGGATAAGCTGAGACTCCTGTGGCTCTTGGGCACAGTGGCAGGTCCACACACACCGGGAATGCTTTAATGTCGACTGCTGCAGATTAATTCATGGTGTCTTTTTAGGCGGTCCACAGCTGTCCCAAAGAAATGCAAACATCATGTTTCCAGTAGCCATTTTAGTGGTTTAAAGGTGTTTTATTTTTGTGAGGTTCAATGTCAGGAAGTTCACAAAACAGTCAAGTACTAAAGGTTTTTATGTTTTTTGTGGGATTAAAGGTTATCCTGCAGGGATCACAAATGCCTGCACAAAATGATATTACAATCTAGCTAATCGATGTCATATATTCTATCTGCTTATCTGGGTGCAGGTCCCCTTACAGGGCCGCCTCCCACAGCTGACTCCTTTCAGTGGGGAGGAATGGCAGCCCTACCCTCTACCCTGTTCTCGCTCACTTTGCTCATCACTCGACTTAACTGCTTTCAGCCTTCATCAGTTAAATGAAGATCCTCTACCCCCCACCGATCTTCAGTGAGCAGAGCTCCGTTAATAAGTAAATCCTGTATTAAATTTGCATTACTATTATTACTATTATTACTATTATTACTATTATTACTATTATTACTATTATTACTATTATTACAGGCTCGATCCTGAATGGTAATCTTCATTTGGACGCACAGTTGTTTGGTGATGTATTAACGTACGTTGTGATCTTAAGACAAACTGTATTGGTATTTAATATGGTGGCGAATCACAACAACAGTTCTCTCAAAGCCGTTTAACACATTGCTGCGTAGGCTTGTGTGCAAACGAGAGGGCGACACACATCTGAACTCACTGCTTAACTCTGTGTGCATTTCCACATGGCTGCACCGGATCTGCATTTGCTGAAATATTAACTCATTTTAGACACACAAATCGCATATGCATGAGCTCCCACCAGAAGCAAACGATATGAAAGTGACCACAGTACGGGAATGACACCATAAAAAACACTACGCTTTGAGGCATATACAACGTGTGTGTACTCCACCTAAAACCTGTTTAGAGATGCAAATAACGGCGCTGGACTTTTTGTTAATGAGACGAATTGCAGGGCATTAAGGGGTGCGCGAAGGGGGGGGGAAGAGGTGTCCAGGTGATGCAGGAAACACCGACGGCAATCACGCCTGTGACTGGCCGATCCGTGCAAATCTTTACAGCCAGCTCACTGTTACATCTGCTACACAAATCTCGAGACCGCCCGGTCCATTAATTGTTAATATCCACAAAGTAATAGCCTTCATTCAAAATGGCCAAAGCAGCCAGGAGTGGTGGTAATTTATCCCCATCAGAGCTTTTAGGAAGCCTGTTCACCACCAAGCAGGCGCAGGAAAACCCCCCATCAAATACTGATCTCAAATATTTCTGTACGACTTTAAATCAAAGCAAGTCACCGTGTGGGGAAGAAAGCATCTTTGTCATAGTTCAAAAATTCGTTTGGTGCGCCCGTTCGCCAACACGTGGGTTATTGCACGCCCCGAGCGGCGTTCGTTACATCAACTTTTCAGAACCCCTCATGTGAAGGAAGCTCAAACATTTTCTGTTCAGGCTGTAAATGTGTTTGTCAATGAGTCGAAGTGCGGCTCTGACTGCAAACAGCTTCTTCACAAAATGTCTTTTCAAGGCTTTTTGAGTCAGTTTGAAACGTCCTGACTCAAACGAGTGACGCCGCAGCGTCGGGGTTGACCTTATGTAACCCTGTCCTGACACGGTGCAAACACTGGGACTGCTCTACATAGATTGCATATCTGCATGTAATGCTGCGCTGCTCGACCTCACAGATATTCAGGCCCCAGCTAAAAATTATAATAATGTTTTTAATGAGCCTTTGAATGTGTGGCGGTCCATTATCTAGTTACCAAAACATTTCACTACAACTATTATTAATGATGTGAACAAAACCCCTTTTAACAGTATTCACATGAACACGCTGTTTGAATATAATTAATGTGTGAAAGGTGGATCTTTGTGATTCTGACGCCTGTCGAAGGCCGACGCCATCACATTTTCCTGGTTTACTCGTTAGTAAGAGCTGCTTACAGGAGAGCCTAACTATCTGAAATGGGCTTAGTCAGCAGGCGACCAAGTGATCTTTGCAAAGCAAACAAACAGCTACCCTAATGACTTCCCATAAAACCATTTCTACTTGTGTAAATGGGCTGGAGTCACACATGACTGCTTTCAGATGCTGCTGACTACGAGTGGAAATGTAACAAAGTGGAAACGCTAATATTGTCCTCCGACTCCCACAAAGCTGGTACGCTGTTTAAAATGTAAATAAAAAGAGAAAGCGGTGATTCCCACTCTATTCACACGAGAACACAGAAAACATATCTAACGGGAAAAATCGATCATTTTAAGAAAAATATTGGCTCATTTTGTTGATTTTGTTGAACGCGTCTGAACACAGTTGGTAGACTTTTCCTCTTCTTTTAGTTTGTAAATGGGAACCGAGGAGACCCACCGGGGAGAGGAACATCGTCCCAGTCTTCTGTGACTCTGGCTGCTCTGCAGGTCTGCCACCTTCCCCAAACTTCCACGACCCCCTAAGTAATCGTGCACGTGCAAACAGCTAGTAAAGACTTAAAGACTGAGACCAGCAGCGCATCTAATAGCACGAGAAAACGGCTGAACGTCCTTAATATCCTCCTTCCCTTCTGCTGATTCACATACATGACTGTGTGGTTCTGTGCTCCCCTTCAGTTTCATACACCTGTAAGGTTTTTAAGCAGGTTATCTTTTTGGTTGCATACGTGTCCTTCTCTCTGGAAACGTAATAGCGTGAGAGGTTGAATCCTGGTAACATTTTATCGAGGTGTACAATCCAAACTTTGCTCGCATCTTAAGACCTTATACGTCCACACTAATGCGCATCGTTTTCTCTCCGTTTTGGCCTCCCGTCCACACCGAGACACATTTTCCTCGAGGAAAAACGCAGTGTTTTGAAAACGAATACGTTTCAAAACGGTGCTGTCGCGTCGCAGTGTGGACAGCGAAAACGCAGTTTCTAAAACGATGACGCGTGTTAGTCATGTGATGCAGTCATGTGACCAATTACTGACAGCCCTATTAAAGATTAACATCAGTCTGCACGTGCTTCAGAGAGCTTTTCTTCAAACTCTCACTCGCTTTTGCAACTTTGTGCTTTTGTGTTACTCGCAGCAACAACTCCAGCTCATTGTGAGTCCATTTAAAAACTCGCTGCTTTTCCTCCACATTTCAACGAGCCGGAAAGTAAATAAGCCGCAGACAGAAATGAGGCAGGCCGAATCTTCTTGCGTTTCACGCATGCGCAGGACTGGTACGTAAGTGTTTTCAGATGTTTCAATGTGGACGCACAAGTCTGTGAAAACGACTGAAACGTGGACGCGGAGCGTTTTCAGACAAAAACGCCGTTTTCTAATCTATCCGGGCCGGTGTGCACGTAGCCTGAGTTGACCTTAAAGATTTACTGGTGGGAAATCTGACAAATTTACAAACTGTGATTCTTACAAGTGTGGTGTGTATCGTCGATATATAGCAAGTACTTCATTATTAGTATTTCTTATTTGACCTCTGACCTCTCCTTTAAGGTCAACAGATTGAGCAGCTCCAGCAATAAAGCTGTTAATATGTGAAAAACAGAGAACATGTTTCCTAAACGTTTATAGTTTGGCAAACACGAGCATGAGGGCCTTGGGTGCCGGCTTTAAGCCTGCAGACAGAGTGTGGAATATTTCTATCAAGCAGCAGCAGCAATCTATGCTGCTCTGTTTTTCTCTTTGTTATTGCTGTTATTGGCTGATTCGGTGGTGCGTGGCAGAATAAATGGGGGTCAGACAGGTAGAGCCCACACCAGATGATGGGGTCTATCTCACCGGTTATTCTTCCTCAGCCTGCGCACGCGTCCTGTCACACATTTCTTCACTGCTAGCATATTTTTTGCCTCAACATTGACTCTAATGCCCATTTTATCATCGTCCAATCACTGTTGTGTGCGGATTTCTTGCTGCCTCAGGAAATGACCTGTGTTGTAGTTTCAAGCTAATCTGTGGAGGCACATATGGGCTCTTACTAATCTCCAGCCTGCGGTGTATGATTTCGATCTGCGATCCAACCCTCCAGCCTGCACAGGATGATTCCTGTCCACTGGAAATTGCCCATTTTATCATTTATTGCCTCAGGTTGTGCTCTCTCTCTCTCCACCCACACTGTCCATTTCCTGTTATTTGATGAACACTCTCCCACCACCAACCGGCCAAATCCACCAAATTATCCCTGCGAGTTGGAATTCATGCAGTATTCCTGTCAGTCTGTCCGCTCTCTCTCCCTGCAGGCTGGACCCAGATCCCACAGCTTTTACCTCCCAGATCCTCCAGCTGCTGACTCCTTGTTTTGAACTCTTCTGTTTGCTGGGCTCCTCTTTGTCGCTGCCTGTCTGGGTGCGCTGAGCGATGAAGATCCCTCTGTGGTGCCTGGTGGTCCTGCTGGCATGTCTCTTCACCCCTGGATGCAGCGACTGTCAGGGGCAATGTATGGCCTGTGGACTGCTCCTGCAGCAACAGCAGCTGGAACAAACCTTCAACACCATGGTGAGCACATGTGTGTATCATTGTAATTCTGTGTGAATGCATGTCAACACCGCGGCGCATGTGTGCAGCTGCAGCAAGCCATCAGCACCCTGATGGGGCCATGATGGTGATCCAGTGAGTTATTGATTAGAGTGTCTTTGTAACGCATCGTGTACAGTTCGATGGTCCTGTGTGTGCTTTGTTTGCTCTGTAATGTAACTACTAATGTTGTGTTTTTGCGTTGTCTGGTTGTCATTGTGCATAAGCTTTCTCTGTGTGCTGTCAACCATTTACATTGTTGTGTTTTCACCTCAAAAACAGCAAGAATATTTATTTTTTCACAACAATTAAGGTATGAAGCATATTTCAATCAGTCACCAAAACATCCATCCAAAATATTTCATGCAGAGCAGAATTGTGGTGGCAACGATAATTAAGAATAGTAGAAATCCAGATTTCATGTCACAAAGGGACATTGAAAGCGCTTTATAAATAAAGTTATTATTATTATTATTATTATTATTATTAGTCAACAGACTAAAGAACAGCTTCTTCCCGGGCTGTCAGAACTCTTAATGCAAGCTAAGAGTGTGTAAAGACTTCCCCAACACATCCACCCTGACACTGCTGTGGATCATCTATATGCAATATCTCAGTCTTTCCATGTTCTGTGTAATTATTTTGGTCCCAGTCTGTTTCGATGTTTCCTCCACATACACCATGTATATAGTTCCACTCACATATGTATACATATACACTGTTTTTTATTTTATTCTATTTATTTAATTATTTATTTATTTTCCGCCTTCCTTGTATATTGGTTTCTCTTCTTCTTACTTTAGCACCTTTGTGGTCCAGCTACCCAATTTCGCTGTGCAAGAAACTGCACAATGACAATAAACAGCTCTAAGTCTCTAAGTCTTCTAGAAGTGTGCGTTTGCAGGATTTTTACCAGCTCATGCAGAGTTTCGATGAATGACACCATGTTCCACTTTGTACAGTGCTGACACTGGAGCTGCTTCTGCTGATTACTTTATTACCTGCACAGGTGACGGGAAGAAGCAAGCGGGCTGAAACTGCGGGAAAGGACGTGCAGGGAGCAGGGCGGTTATGCAGTGGTTATCACTGTGACAGGGTTCTAGGTTGGAGCCTCGTGTGGCTCGGTCATTTTTCTGTTGCCTCATTGCTCAGAATCAAACCCAGGCATGTCAGACTAACTGGTGAAGTGTGGACGTGTGGCTCAGTGACTCCTCGTCCCTCTGTGCCTGTCCCGAGTGAACCTGTCTGTGTTGTCTGGGTAGATGAACATCAGGGGATAACTGAAGTTTCTGCAAATCATGATGTGGGGACATATCTGACAACCAGCCAAGCTCACATTCACACTTATGACCAGTTTAGAACTGAAGTATCTGAATTTCCAAACGCTCCTTCCAGTTCTCATCTACACATGTTCCCCCCAGCTGTTCGTTCTTGTATTCGTGCCCCACCCTCCCTCCCACTTTTATTTAGTACATGGTAGACTTGTAGTCAAGACCGCCTAACATGAGACCAAGTCGAGACAAAAAAGTTTTTAAACTGCAGCCAGATGCTGTTTTGTTTACGGGTGTCGGGCATATCTATGTGTTTTTGCGATGCACTCGCACAGCCCTCCTCACCGCTGTCCACTGTGTCACTCACTGAGAGGACAGACACACACTGCACTTGACTGTCATGTCTCTCACCCTCTCTGTTTTTCACATAATGATTCTATGTGAAAAAAAATGAGGATAAATTAAGTGAGGAGCCGGCTCTCGCTTAATGGGAGTCGACTCTTCGGAGTCGCTGCAAAGCACTCTCCAAGCACGGCTCTTGGAGCTGATGCCTTTGCACATGACGCATTATCAAACGTTACGTTGTGTGTCATGGATACTAGTGGTGCAACGGCTCAAAAATCTCACGGTTCAGATCGGATCACGGTTTTAAGTCACGGATCGGATCAATTTTCGGATCAGCAAAAATAGAAAAAAAGACAAAAATTTGACTCGCCGTTTATTTATTTAAGTATTTTTTGCCTATTAAAAAACAACTGAAGACTCATTCCACTCACTTATATAAAAACAAATTAAGGTGCAATATGGACATTATGGACCAAGCTGGGCATCCCCTGCACATGGCCATAAACAACCAGAGGAGTCTGTTCAGTGACAGGTTGCTTCTCCCAAAGTCAAGGACCAGCAGACTTAAAAAGTCCCACACGCCATCAAACTGTTTAACTGCTCGCTGGAGGGGAGAGGGAGGGGAAACAAGGGGGGAACAAGTAGCTGTAGCGCCTTTTCCCTGTGCAATAGTTTTTGCTAATATCCAACGGTGTAATAGACTCACAATACTTGAAATGTGCTGTTCCCTTGTATTCTTATTCCTGTTTATTCTATTTATCCCTTTTGTATTCTCTGTATTTATAAATGTGTATATTTGGTATATTTCTGCTCACATTCTGCAACTTCTGTCGGTGCTGTGCTACTGGAAACTGAATTTCCCGGAGGAACCCACCCGAGGGATAAATAAAGTTTCATCTAATCTAATGTAATCTACAGGGCAGTGCAGGGCTTTGTATCTACCACTCCGCTGTGATATAACGAGCGGTCACGGTCACGTGGCTCTCCGTTGACCTGGAGCTCCACCCATTTGTAGTTAGAGCAACAGAAGATGGTTGGGACAGTTCAGCCATAACTTTAAAGTTCTCCTGCTCATACATGCTTGGAACGATCTTGTCACTGAAGTGGACGCGCAACGAGATATCATAGCGTGGCTCAAGCACGTTCATCGTAGTTTAAACCGCTTGTTTTGCACAGCAGAATACGGCCTCCCGTCTGCAGCTAAACACCCCAGCAGCTTCTGTAATAGCTTTGCCCGGTCGGGCTGGGCAGCAAAGGGCTGCTTAAATACCGCAAACTCCTCTGCTCCTCCACTTGAACCGCTAGCGCTGGCTATAACTATCGCTGGCTATAACTACCGCTGGACAGACTGACCACGCCACCATACGCGTACTTTTATTTTTATTTTTCGAATCTTCAGATCGCGTGCGTACCGAACCGTGGAGTGGGATCGGTTCGGATTTCGGATCAACCGTAATCCGCTGCACCACTAATGGATACTGTTGACTCCAGAGGCGGAGCCAGACATTTTATACACCCGGGGCTTAGCCGTAAAGGGTAGTATGCATGTGGGATGGGGGGGAGGCTGTTTTGAGTTTTGTTCAAAAAAGAATCTCTTCATGTAGGAAAAAATATGTCACATATGCAGGACACCTTAAACTAACTTTTTAATTAAGCAGCGAGACAGAACAAAGTCGGGGCTGTTTCAAGACACGAGGACTAAACCCCAATTCAACCAGACCCAGAACTGATCCAGAACTAAAACAGGACTACAACAGTTCAAAATCAGGACTACTGAGGACTTAACCAAGACAGAACCAGAATCAGAACTAGATGATAGCAGCACTAAAAATCATCATAGACCTGCACTACATTTATTTTTTAATTCTACCAAAGTACAATAATTATTTAGCCTTGTTGTGCAAACAAGCTGCAAAACTTAATAAATATAGAATTTGAAAAGTAACAAACGGAATCTAAAACGTTACACTAGGCACTGGATACATGTTCTGATGAGTTTGGGCAAACAACATGTGACTAACAGGTGTGTCACCTGCTCTTGTTCCCTCCCTGTTCTGTCCTCCTCTCTCTCTCCCTCTCTGTTCCTCTTGTTTTGCATAGAAATATACTGAACAACATACAAAGTATAATATATAAAATAACATCTACCTTTTTTCTTTGAAAGAAGCTCCTTATGTCCATTGTTGTGTTCATCAGTACATAACTCAAACCGATTCTGTGCTTTATTTAGCCGTGGAGAGAAACAACTGAAAATATGAACTAAACACACATGTGAGCTGAGACTCTCTAAAGAAACAGCATTGTTGTTGTTCGGCTTTTCATTTCGCCATTTGTTGATTCACTCGAAGAGCAAGTAAAGTAATATGGGTCAAGTGATCAGTTTGACATCAATCTTTTGTGATTCACCGTCATATTAACATTATTTGTACAGTACGAATGATTTGCCTCGGAACTTGGTCGAACTTCAGCTCTTCTCTGTCTGCGCTTCTCCAACAGCAAACTCGCAGGCAGCAGCTTCTCCCCCCTCGCTCACATGCTGTGCTCCGTCGCCTAGTGCCTGAGCTCGGATCATACCAAAATTAGGGGGGATACTCGGTGTATAAATGCTCAATCAACAATCTTTTATTCCATACAATTCAACACTTTATGAGCATAAACCATCTGGATGGGGAGACATGCATGCAGAGGGACACAGCAAATCTCAAACTGGTGGAGGGTTACTCAAACTCTTATAGCCTCTAGTGGCCCCCACCTAATCGTAAAAACCTAAACATTCACATTCTTTCTAACTCCTAGTGAGCCTGACTTATGGCCTTGGCTCCCTATTTTGTCTGCCTTCAACAACAGTGGGGGTGAAGCTCCCGTGGAATGTGCTCTGTCTCCTCTACTATCAGAAAAAGTCCTGACTCTCTGAAAACAGTATTTCTTATAACTCAGCTAACCCTAATAACTGTAACAGTTATCACCTTTCTCTAATTCAGGAGAATACTACAAACTAAAACTACATAATAATTTCACAATCTTTAATTAGGGGTATAACATAGCATAAGATACTATTATAATCCCACAATAGATAGATAGATAGACAGACAGACAGACAGACAGACAGACAGACAGACAGACAGACAGCACTCTTTATGCTGGAAGTGCTTATCATCTCCTGTGTGGACAGGTCTCAGAGCAGAGTGCCAATATTCTTTCTGTGCCAATGCACAAATGGCAATTAGTGTTATAATGGGTGGTTAGTGCCAAACAAAATATCTTGGGTCATAAGAGCCAGACTTAGACTAACATAACATCCTAAAACCTGAAAAAAATACTTCCTATTATTTTTCTCTCATAGCGTTGGGTTAAAACTAAAGAAAGCCACGCAATGCACAGTGACGGTGACATGATGGAGACACTTTTATGCAGAAGGGATTAGTGTTGCTTCTCTGTGAGTACCTACAGCACCTGTGCAGTTCTTTGTGACCATCAGGAAATCCCGGCCTCTACAGTGGGAGGATGTGATCGTTCTCTGAACTGAACCCAAAATTTCCACGCGGCACAGAATCTCATTCCAAGCAGTCTGAGAAAAATCAGTGGGTAAAAATAGTCGGTGGGTGTCCACGAATAGCTGTAGGACGGCTAATTTAGCTGATAATGATGCAGAGGAAAGACAGCTGGGACCTTTTTGGAAGTTGTAATAGACTGCCTCTCAGTATCATCAGCCTGGGCCTACATCGCTGACTGACACATTTGATCAGCACCTCATTGTGTTTGCCGCCATCCCATTGAGCCACAGATGGAATCCACGGAGCAATTCCATTGTCTCCCACTCCAGACTGAGAGTGTGTGCGTGAGGCCGCCGCTGTTTGCTATAATGTCAGGACCCATTGATTTATTTGTGCACACACCTACACGCCCGTACCCACACACACAGATTCTACCACCACATTCATTACTTACTGTCATTTTTTAAAATGCCAGCTTTTGTTTACATATGTGCTAATTACCTGTGATGTGGCTCTTAGTCACGGAGTTTCCTGCCTGCTCTCGTTTGTAGTTCAGCTGTGTGAAGGTGAGAGTGTAACCAGGGTTACTTTGTCTGTGTTTGTCATTAGCTGCCAGACTTTCGTCCAGTTAAAATCATTACTCTGTCTCATTGCTCGACAGAAGTGTGGGCGTTGCTTCCCTTATGCGTATTTGCAAACAGCCACAGCTGGTTCCTGACGCACCTTTGATTGTTGCACAGAGATGTTGTGAGGCCTGGGGGCCTCATGCTGAACATTGTAGAGATCTGCCACACTCCCTGTTAGAACTGGACCATTAGCTAAGTTAGCTACTGTATGCTATCAGCCTACGTTTAAGTGTTTTTACACAAAACAGTCAGAACAAGGTGAACAGCTCTGCTCTTGGTCCCAGCAGTGGTTTGTATGCTACACTGCACAGCTGTTCTGACTTTGCTGCACAGCATGTGGTGTCCCAGGTGGTTAGCTCTCCAGCCAAGCTGGGTCCAATGGCTTTACTGGTGGAAACTCAAGAAACAAATTATCATCAATAGTGCTGCTTTTTCATACAGGAATATTACATTTCACTTAAGAATTTCTCACACACACATCTCTCTCTCTATCCTTCAAGCTCGGGTCCTCTACCAGAGGCCTGGGAGCTTGAGGGTCCTGCAGTATCTCAGCTGTTCCCAGGACTGCGCTCTTCTGGACAGAGATCTCCGATGTTGTTCCCGGGATCTGCTGGAGCCACTCGCCTAGCTTGGGAGTCACCGCACCGAGTGCTCCGATTACCACGGGGACCACCGTCACCTTCACCCTATATATTATATTATATTATATTATATTATATTACTACCATAAATCACAAATACTCAGAATTACAATACAATCACATGTAAAGAAAACCATGCAGTAAATAAAGGTGCAGGCTGGGACCTTCCCGTATTCCTCACATTTCCTTGCTGGAGAATCAGGATTTTTTTAAATTGCAGTGAATTTCTCCTCTGGGGCTGACAGATCGTGTAGTCCTTCTCTTTCATCTGTTTTCTCTCTTTTTTCATATCAACTTTGATGATATGATATATTGATATACTATTGATAGCGATAACCTTCGCTAATCGTCACCCTGATGGAAACGTTTTGGAAAGGTTTACATTGGTTCGATTTCTTCAGCGGGACTTTGTTACCTGAACATCTTCCCTGAAGAACTGGATCTGTGCACTACATCACACAGCAGGCAAAGTGTGACTTCTTTGGCTCTCCGTCACGTACACCATTATCAGTCACTCCTCACAGGAACAACTCTTTTGATAAGATGTTTGCAGATGGCTTGTGAGCACAAGCTGGCTCATAACATGGCCTGATCTGTCCACCCCAAGATTAGGTAGCAAAGTAGGAGCTTTTCTGCTGCTTCTCTGATCAGTTCAAAGAATTTAGTACATCAAAATCTCAACACTGTATTTAAGAGCCAGCCCTGACCCACCTCCTCTGTGAGAATTAAGCCTTTGAAGCGAGCTCCTCTTGGAGAATTTCCTCAACCGTTTTATCCTCTTGTCCTCACGAGTATATAAATCGTGGACTGTGTGCATGCACGCACTTCCTGACGCTCATAAACTCCTTTAGATTGCTCCATTGATCCGCTGCGGAGAATCCCCTGGTGCGCTCATTTCATTTACGATGGATAATTAATTTCTGTTGATAGATTCACAGCAGAACTCCCTCTTCTCTGCTTCCTTTGATGTGAGCAGGTTTCTGATAACAATGCAATTTATCTCGTTTGAGCGAGATTTGACGAGTAAATGGGATTTGCTTCTTACCTCAAACTGAAATCAGCAAGCTTGGGAGTTTGGGAAAGGGTGAAAGAGAAGAATACAGTGACCTACTGTCAGCCATATATGGATGCAAAATATAGGTGATAAATATATTTGGATTTACTAAACAAGAAAAGCCGTTGTTGCATCAAAAAAGCTTTAAATGCACTTCAAATGTTCTTCATTGGTCCTTGAAGTCAGACTATCAAGCGTCACGACTATGACAGGAAAGTCATTAAGACGAGGTGGAAATCAGCGCTGACAAACTTCACTCTATACAGAAAAGTTCAGTTCCAAATCTTTAGGAGCGGAAACAACGTCTTGAAGCTGAAGAGTCATTCGGAAATAAATAGTTGTCAGCAAAAGACATAATTTACCTGCTGTCCTTCAAACAGCCTCGCACTTTTCTCCAATTTTGTGCTGTCAATCATTTTGCAATAGTCGATGTCACATTTGTCAAATTATGGATGTGTCACATTCGCAGATCATATATGCTGAACACAGCAGGAACCAGGCCCATTAACTTCTGTGACACCCGAGTCATCAAGGTTAAAAGGAGGCTAGTTGAGCTGACGCCTGCACTAAAACTAATATAGTAATGCCATAAAATCATGGCCATACAATTATTTTGTGTTTGGCTGTTTGACTAGAAGAAAAGCTATTTGCTTAAAATGACTGGCTAGCTTTTACATTTTGTTTTCTTTTTGACTATAAACTCAGTGCATATTTTCACAGCTCGGGGACTCGGGAAGCAGTCATTAGTCTCATCAGACTTTTTCATATGAGAAATAGTTGAATTCACTCGATGTAATATAAACAGTTCAGCTTCTAGTCAAAAAAAACACATAATTATTACCTGACTCTCGTTTATGGGCCACATCATTTTCTGTCTCATGAATCTAACTTTGTGCCACAAAAGGCAGCTTTTTCCCCGTGAACATGTTCATACATGTACCGTGTGTCATATTCAAAGGCAGCATAATGGGTGGATGTAGCCACTCCTCATTTTGAAGCTTCAGCATTAGCGGTGTAGGCAGCGCAGGGTTTGTCTTTTAGAGCCAGAAGTGACCTTAAAATGTTTGGAGAGTTATTCATCAGCTAACGTTAGTTAGCTTGGCTAGCTAGCTGAATTAATAAAATGCACCGAGAAACATGCTAGTGCTAATTAGTGCTAAGTAACAGACTCAGCAAACCATTGTTTTAGTTTGATGTTCTGTTAGAAATGCTCCAAAAGGAACCAACAGCAAAGAGAGACAGTGAAGAGCTCTGGTGTAATGACTGTCACCGCTCTACTTAACGTAGCTTCAACAACTCTTCTTGGCATCGCTCATCAAGTGTTTTCCTTCTGGAGCTCTATTTTTACGCTTCTTCTGCATTCCTCAGCCATCCTCTCAGTTTCCGAGATAAACTAATTTTTCTCCCTCGTTAGGCTCCAGCTTCACATAAAACTCACTGAGCCTTTTCCTTTGCCACCTCTGTCTTTGTCGCACGTCTAGCCTCAGAGGACTAGCCCACTTCTTCTCTGCTTACCTCTTCCTTTGAATTCTTCCCCGCACTTCCTCAGTCAACCACCAGGTTCACCTCCCCTTCTCGTCCAGAATCATGCTGCAGGCTGCCATCCAATGCACCCCAGCTACCCCACCCCTTACACCACCTTGCAGTTTATCTCTTTCAGACTGCACCTTTGTGCGCCTTCCTCTCTTATTCAAAACCGTCTTCTTCTTGAAACATGTGGTCACCACAGCCATTTACATCCTTTTTGCAAAAGCTGTCCTTCTGCATTTCTCTAAAGAAGTACAAAGCGCACCGTCTCACCCCAGGAAACCTTACAATCCTTCTTTGTAGGATTCTTTGCTCGTAGCTTTAAGCTTGAATAAATATAATGATCCAAATTACCACTACTCCTAACAACTAGCAACTATAACAGCAGTGCTAGCTAAAACTCTTTAAATATCAGGTCAGAAATATCACACTGCTATGTTTGCTAAGCAGCGCTCGAATGTAGGAAATGTGAGGAAACAACCAGTAAGAGATCAATGGGAACACGCACATGTTCAGACAGACAGACAGTTTATGTGTGTTAGACTTGAAATAAGAGCGTCTGCTCTCTGCTCCGTTATTTGTCCTTTCCATGATTTATGTTCTAAGGAAAGAAAATTTGTGATTGTAGAAAACGGAGATACTTCAGGCCTTGTCAGCACCGTTACGTTCGACCGTCACGTTGCTCTGGTGTGTGGACTAAACACCTGCAATTATTTGCCAGCCCAATATTCTCAGCATCCTCACTGTCACCTTCTTTCTTAAGCCTGATTATCGCCTGAATGACTGCAAGTAATTAGGGGACTTCAAAGTCTCTGGGATCTTTGTTGTGTTTTCATCAGTTAAACGTCAAAAAGACCCCTTCGGATCGCCTCACCACGTCACTGTTTCTCTTCCCTCTGCAGGTGTGTTTGTTGGAATGCGAGGGTCGCATCTCCTCTTCGCTGACGTGGGACGTATGCAAACACGCTGTGAAGCTATCGCTCCATCCTACACTTTCTGAAGGAGGCGCTCTCTTCAAGAGAACGGGAGAGGAGCTGGAGCTGACCTCTCTCGACCTGAACTCTGACAGTGAACTGGTGCAGTCGACAGCTGCGGAGCGTTTCCAAGAGGGGGATCGGGATGAGACACCCTTCGAGCAGCGCAGCGTCCAGTATGACTCATCGCTGCTGGGATCCTCTGAGGAGGGGGAGGGCCTGCAGAGTCTGGATCTCAGTCTGACGGATGAAGAGCAGAAGCCCAGAGAGGAGAGGAACGTGGAAAGCGATGGCCAGCTAGAGGCCGGTGAAGGTGAGAGTTCAGAGGGCATCGCCTTATCCAAACGCTTTGGCGGCTTTCAGAGGGGGCGCCACGCATACAGGAAGCTGCTGGGCTCATCGATGAGGCCGCTACAGAAGCGCTACGGCGGGTTCATAGGCGTCCGGAAATCTGCCCGCAAATGGAACAGTCAGAAACGGGTCAACCAGCTGCTGAGGCAGTACCTGGGCATGAGGAGCAACCGCAGCGGCAGATTCAACCCCATCCCCATGAGCCGCCTGTGGCGGCAACACAAACTGTAACGCTTCCGGGGCGCCGCCTCTGCTTACCTCAACCTGTCAACCATTTTTTTCCCACAGCAGCTCACTCCAGTTTGAACTGTGACGTCATCAGAAGAACAGACTCCGCCATCTTGCCCCGCCTCACTTCGTGTCTCCAAGTAACAAAGAATGTTTTGACCGTGATGTCCTTCCTATTAACCACATTTACATGCCATTCTGTGAAATAAAAGAATTCGAGAAGTGCAATTGAATATATTTTTGTGTGTCGGTATAATAAAAAGTGGCCAAATGAGACTGGAGAACTGGTTTAATTGAAGAGTTTGAAAATGATGTGGAAAGCACTTTGATGCATGTTTGGCTGGAACATGAAGGCAGCACTTTGTTTTCCTCACAGTCCAGCCGAGTATTCCTAGATTTAGGAATACTCGAGTATTCCTAGATTTAGGAATACTCGAGTATTCCTAGATTTAGGAATACTCGGCTGCTACACAGCTGCTAACTGCTCAGCTTCCCAGTTAGAGCAGACACAAGATCAGATGATTTTATATATCAGACGGTGAAACTGCTGAAGCACCAACTATTAATTAATGATATAAAAATCGAATTCCCTGCTTAGAAACCTAATTAAGTAAACACAATGAGATAAATTGGTTTTCTGGACTCTGGCTTTATTAACACTGACAGTAAAAAGTATTTTTCAATTGTAATCTGTTATTTCTGCAATAAGGTGGAAGTTTTTATTGCAAACTGCTCCCGTCATGAGTTTCTCTGAGAAATGACCATCAGCTCTGCTGTCAGTGGAACAATACTGCCCTCTAGTGTCCGGGGAACGATCACGCTGGCCTTGGATGCTGGCTTTGGCTCGGATGTGGAAGTCTACGGACGAGCCCTTTTCCCAGGAGTTAGACTGAAAGTACAAATTAACATAAAACGGCGAGCTAACAGAATAAATTCATAAAACATTAAAAAACAAATAAATAGTAAACATTTTTGAGTAAAGAAGGACGGTAGTGTCCAGTAATAATAATTAATAACAACAATAATTCTTTCCTTTTTGGTTTCACTTGTGAGAATCAAGTCTGAGAATAGAAGATGAGATATTCTGTATATTTTGATTTGAGGCAAATTTGAGACGAGCTACATGAAAGTTATTCGTCTCGGGAGTCTGTGCATCACATCCTCCGGTTACAAAGAGGCGGAGGATCAGAACTGTGGTTCATGGCTCTGTTAAAGTCGCTGTAACCAAGTATGTTGGCATCTGAGCTGTAATTATGAACAAATAGGAGGAGTAGTTTCTCATTTTTCAAAGAGACTCCTAATAAATTCTCCCTCTTTTATGGCTTAAACCTGGATTTCAAATGTTAACCCAGCTCACCCACTAGCAATTCCAGCTTTAATTGTGAAAATGAGGCAGCAGACCTCAGGAGTAAAGCAAACAAAGAAACAAGAGTCCTCCTCCTGCTTTCAAACACTTCTCCACCCGGAGGCGTTTTCCTCCTCACGGCCATTTAAAGCGCAGGAGGATGAAACTGCCAGGGATCGTTGGGCATCTACTGCACGGTGAGACAGGAGAGGAGGTCCAAGGAAACGACTCATGGCATCCACTTAATGCAGAGAGGATGAACTGTGCACGTCAGCTGTTTGGGAGGAAGTGTTTGTTGTTTCAGCCGTGATTTTGCATATTCATAGATTTTCCCGACGGTGCTGATCGTTTCTGCAGTGTGTGGCTGATTGCAGAGAAGATGCAGGTGTGCACGTGCATTTCTCAAAGAGAAATGGGAATTTGTGAACACGCGTACATGTCAGCACATTTTTACCATCACACCATTGTTCTGAGTCTTGTATGGTGGCAATAAAATGTTTGGCATTTCCTTCGTGGACTGTCGTGCAGAACAACAAGAACAACAGACAGCAGCTCAAACTCTCAGTGCTTTTTAATGTGTTTGACAATATATTTCCTCTTTTTTTTATTGCTATTGCAAACTCGTTCCCCTCACGCTCGTCCCATTGCCGTGACGGCTTCAAGGAACAGAGCCATTAACACTGGTCGTACGCCAACACACGGGCAGGAAGGAAATCCATTTCATGGAAAGAACTTTTAGCTTATTCTCGTGAGTTTATATTCCAACAAAGTGCCAAAAACATGAAAATAATAATAAAAAAAATATCTGCCCAATTCATGGGCTGAACCAGACGATTAAAATAATTATAATTAAAAAAAACAGTATAAAATACTCGTACGTAACTCAGAGCACACAATATAATGTACATCATAACCACTGTGTCACCACTGGAAGAGAAGATCGGAATAACAAAAACAGCCAAGTCTAATAGAGTGGAGCTACAGGAGTAGTAATATGACCTTTGGATAAAGAGTATTGTAGGCTTAGCACATCACGTAGGTCAAAGTCAGTCAACAGTTAGCACCATCGCAGACTTCAGTTTTCAGGATCAAGATACAAAGATACAGAAAAAGTCCAGAAGCATTCCTTTAGGAAAGAAACGAAACAAGTTGAAAGTAAAAAAACACACACATGTAAAACAGCTGATGGCTCTCGGGCCCTGATTTATATTCTCTTTTTGATAAAAGTCTCTTGTTGTAACGCATCCATCCGTCCATCCACGTCTCTCACGCTCTCTCTCTCGCCATGGCCTCGGCTGCTTCTAGTCCGGGAAGCGCTGGCAGGCCTTTTTCCAGCGGCAGGCGGTGCACCACTGATCCTTGCGCTCCACCCCGTACACCTTGCGGCACTTCTTGGCCTCCCCGCGGCCCTTCCTGCAAAGAGAAACGAGTCGCGAGCGTCAGAAAGGCAAAAAAGGGGCAACAAATAAAGACAAAAACTTTTCTAGGCAGGAAGGCCATGGAAATGTGATGTAAGCAGAGGACAGATACTACAATCAACAGAAAAAGCTCCATTTGTAAGCAGCCAAACTGAAAACGTAGGATCAGAAAGTTTCATCACTGGTAAATGGCCTGTATCTGTATAGCGCTTTACTGAGTCCCTGTGGACCCCACAGCGCGTTACACTACATCCACCCATTCACACACTGGTGATGGCAGCTACATTGTAGCCACAGCTGCCCTGGGGCGCACTGACAGAGGCGATCAACATCAATCATCAATAACAATTTTTAAAGCTCGCCCAACTTAAGCCCCCCGAGCCTTGTCATCCTGTTAAAAAGAAGTTTCTCCTTCACACTGTCGCCGAGTGCTGGCTCATGGGGGTGGTCTGATTGTTGGGGTTTTCTGAACTATTACAGGGTCTTTACTTTACAAAACTAAGTACTACCAGGCAACTGCCCTGATTTGGACATTTATAAATAAAACTGAACTGAATTAACATGCACATTAGCTTAAAATAGCACTACACACAAAGAAGCCGAGTATTAGAAATGTTTAAATGTTAACATCATGAATGCCTCACCTGAAGGAGCAGTGAGTGCAGGAGGGCGACACACTCATTGGCTGCAGCCTGTTCTGCTGGAGCCATTGTTCTCCGACGCTGACGGACCGACAGCGAGGTTTCACCATCTGAGGACACAACCAAAGCTTAGGCACAACAGCGGCCTCTGGTGGAAGAGTTAGACAGTGTGGCCCCCTGCCCACTATGAGTGCAACAGTATCAAATGTTGGACATGGTAATGCTCCCACCTTACCCTTACTATATGTAAAGACACATGTAAAGGCAGACAAAAGACCCACCGGAGTGTTACTGTGGCTGAGGCCAGGGGTGGAGGCGGTCCAGCCATGACTGCCAGGGCTTCTGGGGGCCACAGACAGGACAGGGCTGCAGGCCTGGGGGACGCAACAAAGGACAGACAGATTCTTCACATGTGCAGGATCTCAAACTGCTTAATATAAAAAGTTTAATGTTGGGCAGCAGAGTTGAGCAGAAAAGGCATGAACACACTACACTACAGCCTATTATCACTTTAAATGAGGTTTAAAAATGTTACTGTACGGACCTCTGGACGCCCATCTGGTGTACCTTTCTCGTCCAACATGGTTCCAACCTGAGAACGACCTAATTGTCATCAACTATCTGCAGCTGGTTAGCTTAGTTTAGTTTATGTTAAAGTAGCATGAAGCCTAGAAACACGGTGGAAACAGCTAGAAAAATCAGGAATTTGTAGCTCCTGCTGGGATCAAACCAGAGATATTTCAACTGGAAATGTGTAAAACACTTATGGAGCTAGCAGTCCATTAAACCCCAAACTAGCTTTGACCATCACTGTCATAAAGAAGGTAAGTTGACTAACTAGCAGCAACATGTCATGTTCTCTATTATGACAATTCAAGAGAACTTTGGTTGGCTTCCAAACACTTGAGCAGTGTTGCCAACTCCTCAGTAAGGAAAATCGCTATTGGCTGTCCTACAAGTCGCTAAATGACATCATCTAATTTGCATAATTGGTCATGCTAATGACCAATAATAATAATAATAATAATGACCAATAATAATAATAACCTATGCTGTTGGAGAGAGAAATAACATCGTGGAAGAGACATAAAGTGAGTAAAAAACGTTCTAAATGCATTTAGAGTTTATTTAGAACTACAAAGTAAATTTATTTTAGCAATTATTGTTTTTTAATGTCACAATTCCAACCCTGCTCCTCTATCCGGGTTTGGACCGGCAAAAGTGACCCGAGATAGGCGCTCTGGTGGAGTTACTGTGTGCGTGTGTGTAAGTATTTTTAAACCTTGTGATCCACAAAACAGCATAAGAGTAAAAGAAGAACTGACTGCAGTCAGTGCGGAGCAGCGGCTTCGCTCATGCGCGGTTCATTTGCAGTTTGGAGGCGTGATCATCTCCTACAGCGGGGGGAGGACTATCCTCCGCCCGTGAGCGCTTTAGCATGAGTGAGGTGCCCACGGCAGCACCGCTGCTTGTTGAGAGTAAGAGCAACACGCCCTTTCACGTCAAAAAGCCGTCATAAATAAGTCTCCAATAACACCAGAAAAAGTCGCCAGATTTGTTGCTAGTTGCTTTTTAGAAAAAAAAAAAGTCGTTAAGGGGTCTGAAAAGTCGCTAAATATAGCGACAAAGTCGCTAAGTTGGCAACACTGCACTTGAGTGTAAGCAGGTAATTTTTACATCAGCTGGGGCGCCAGATAGTTACAAAAATAACCAGTTTGAGACTTTCCCCCATAACGATCAACTAAACTTCCACGTGATAAACCATCTTTTCCGACGAAGCTGCTTCCCACTCCCTCTGGTAAAGCGTATTTGCATCGCCTCACATCCCACTGAGAGATGGAGGTGGTAGGAAGTATCTGCACGGC